AGAGAGAGAGAGAGAGAGAGAGAGAGAGAGAGAGAGAGAGAGAGAGAGAGAGAGAGAGAGAGAGAGAGAGAAAAGTCCACAATTGGGAACTTGCACTTAGGGACGGTGATAAATTCATCATTGGCTGTTTGATTTCACCAGGTCTTTGCTTGAGATAGGGAAGTTATGTGGATGGTATTCTCTGGAGCGTCTCGCAAAGCTTCACGGACGGTTGATCAGCCTTCCTGAGGTAAGCTTATTCCTGTGCACATCTTGTCCAATCTCCAGATAATTTCTTTGTTCATCTCGTCTAATCTAGGGTTGACATTTCCTGATTGCGGGATTTTAGTGTTAACAAATGTGTGAAGAGGAACTCCCCTTCTCAAGCGTGCATTTATGAGTTGTGGTGCAGTCTCCGTAAAAAAGTGCGGTGTTGTGCAGCACTGCACCCTGTTTAAACCACCACTCCATTTCCCTAGTACCTTGTTCCAACGCGCAGGTTCAGGCACCACAAAATCGTTGTCTTGACTATTTGGGCCTACCGGAAAACAAAAGGCTCCTGGCAAGATCTCGCCGGCGGTGGGTAACCCGTCGCAAAATTGCGGTTGGGTTTGTGTTCATAAATTTGTGTCTCATATTTGTTTGCGGCCCGCATGCGGGTGCCCATCATTGACATTGTGTGTCCTGATGGCATAACGTGCCGTCACATTTGATTGTGTGTGCACTGTGGTGATGATTGACAAGAGGGGACGGAGGCGTCCAGGGGGAAATTTAGGAAGAGGAGGAAGAGGTGAAGGAGGAGGAAGACAAGTGTCACAGAAAAAATCATGGCAAGTACAATTGTGAAATTTAAAATTTTAGATAAAGTTTTATAATTTTTATTTTAGAAAATTAATTACATCATTAGCTCCAAGGAATTAAGGGAGGCAGTCTTGGGAGTGCGCATGCATCATCATGACTCTTTTGTTTTTTGCCGATGGACCACGGATCAGATATCAAACGATCAGAACAGAATCAACAGATACGATACGTTTTGTTAGCTGAGCTTTCTGTTGCAACAGCCAAAGCTTCTATGATTTATCTCTTTGCTGTCACTCCCATACTGTTTCCTCCATCGGCACACGTCTTGATTATTGTGTTCCTGACCGTCCTGTTCGGTCGTTGTCAACTTGTCACACTCTCATTGCCATTTCTCATGTCCATAAATTTGTCATTGTTATGCAATATCCATACCATCGCTATTACTCACAATAGGATGGAAGTGCTACCCAGTCCATGTGGGTGAATGCTACACACATGTAACTGCAGATGAACAGATCATGAGTTCAAGTCATCGTGGAATCATATGGATACCAAAATGGTAGGGGTTACCTCCCTCTTCAAAAAAAAAAGGACAAAAAAAAAAGACAGAACAATGAATGGAAGGAAGTCTTAAGAAAAAAGAAGAAGAACATGAAAGAGAGGCACAGAAAGACCCGTTGACAGGGGTCAGTAGACTCGGTACACGTGTTTTCTCTTGTCGAGCTGTTGTGAAGTTATGAACAGGTGTACCCATGGATAGGGGGGCGATTGTTGCACAGCCCGCTCCAACTAATTTTGTACCTTAAAACATGGTCATCTTCTTTTTGTTTTTGTATTAAAACCATGGTAACCCCGGACCCGGACACCGGACACTTCCGGACTGTCTTCCGGACCAGTGTCTGGACCGGTCCGGACTGTCCGGTGATCCGGACATCACCAGACATCACCAGACACTGGACAGTCCGGACCGGTCCCCGGGATGCAAAATCGTCCGGACCAAAGAAAAAAAAAAAAAAAAAGGGGGGGGGGGGGGGGGGGTTGGGTGGGGGTGTTGGCAGGCACTTACCTGCTTTTGTTATGACCCTGGCCAATTTCGAGATGCACATCCATCAGATAGTACAATGCCACCAATTGCAGAAAGAAATGAATGAACTTGAGAGGAGAAAGAGGATTAGAAGAAGAAGAAGAAGTAGGAAAGAAGAAGAAGATGATGCACACCAGCATAGACAAACACAAGGCTCTTCTTCTTCGCCCCAGCAATCTCCTCTCTCTTATCTCCTTCTCTCTTATTCACACAATAAATAATAGTACAATGTTGGATGACTGATCCAGAATCAATGCCCGAGTCCCTCTCCTACTGCTGGTAACACATGAGGTCCACCATAGCCATGGCCGCCTCCCTCAACCTTCACCCTCATAGGCCGAGGCTCTGGCGGACTACTAGGCCTTGCCCAGATGCCCAAAGGACAACCCAAAGCAGCTATGGCTGCTCTAGCTCTGGCCGCCATGCCTGACCCTGCCTCGAAGCTTCTTGGTGTGGCTCTCCCCGGTTGGGGACTCCCTGCTGCAGCGCCCACCAAGGTGATGAAGGTGGCTGCCACCATAGCCAGGTAAGTACCCCTGGCGCTCCTCCCCCTTCCTTCCTTCTTCCTCCCTCGTGTCCTTCTCCTTCCTCCCCAGCAGCGCTGCTCCAGCATAGCGCTGATCCAGCCAGCGCTCCACCAGTGTGTCGCCAAACTTGCACACCGAAAAAGAGGCCGGACTCTCCGCCCGGCCCGAAGATATAGCGGTCTTCTTTGCCTCTTGGGCGGTGACTTCCAGGCCGCTTGGCCTCCCAAGCAACCGGTACCTCCTCCTTTTTGGAGGGAAACATCATTGCAGACTCTGATATTGCCCGTACAGGCCCTAGACTCAGACTGGTATCCGCCTAGACCTAGCCTACACTACTGGCCTCTAAAAAAATGCGACTTTTGTCTTCTTCTGCTCGGCCTCCGGTACCTGCACATCTACCCGTTCCAGGTGCGGTACTGGCCTACCCGCTACTAAGTGCTTTTCCCCGCTGCAACTCCTCAATGTCACGGCCACAGGTAAGTACCGGCCCGAAGGGCCCAACGAACGAGCAAGTGCCCTGACGGGCCAAACACATACTCATGCCAACCAGCACTCAGACAGGCACGCTCACACACACACCCAAGCCAACCAACACTCAGACAGACATGCAATCCAGCAAGCGTGCACACACAGACTTAGTAGCAGGCGGGAAACTCAGCAAGGCATTCAGTCTATGAGCAAAACTCAGAAATCAGCTGTGTATTTGGACGGGTCATCACACTTTGCACTCTGTAGTTCAGACAGCAGAGCAGTGAGAGCACGTGTCTTGCAGCAAATCAACCAGCACATTTAACTAGCAGACATGCAGAGTTGCAAACAGTGCAAAGCAGGCACAAGAGTAAAGAAACAGAGAATCGTTTTTTGAAAAAAGTATGATTAACTTTGAACTTTGAACTTTGGATTTAGTAATTTAAGTTCATAACTTCATATATAACTTAAAAGTTCGAACTTTGCAGTTCGATTCAGAACGTCAGAGTCTTAAGTTCATAATTTCATATATAACTTAAAAGTTCGAACTTCGCAATTCAATTCAGAACGTCAGAGTCTTCAGACTGTTAGCACTGTCAGTGCTCTCTCTCTCTCTCTCTCTCTCTCTCTCTCTCTCTCTCTCTCTCTCTCTCTCTCTCTCTCTCTCTCTCTCTCTCTCTCTCNTCTCTCTCTCTCTCTCTCTCTCTCTCTCTCTCTCTCTCTCTCTCTCTCTCTCTCTCCCCCCAACGGGCAGCAGCGGCGGGCGCCATGTCGAAACGGCCGCTTTGAAATTGCTCGGGCCTGTGCGAAACACAGCACCCCAGAAACCTGAGTGTCTTGTGTCCGGACATCTAGGCCCTGTCCGGTGGGGTGAAACGACACTGAAAAATCACCCCATTATTTTTTGAGGGGCGGCTAGGACCCGACAAACGTCCTGGGCCGCCCCGTTCTTTTTCTTTTTTTTGCCCTAGGGGCCTCCATCCGGACAGCAGGACCGGACACCGGACACCGGACTGTCTGGAACCTGGTTTGGACGTCCGGACGGTTACCATGATTAAAACAATGACCATTTATCATTGATTACCCAAATGGCCGATTTTGTCAAAATCGATGTGGCAGAGGCTCGCCAGCACTTCCTTCGTTCGTGCCTCTGCCAACCCTCAGAAGCGATGATATGATATTATACGCATCACTTCGCCTCAATCGATAGTCCTCATTTCACTCGAAGTACGCATGTGTTTTCTCGTGTCGAGCTAGTATGAACGGGTGTGCAAGGAAAATGAGCAATAGCTAAATGACAGATTGCGAAAATCACATTGAAAGCTAGATAGTCGTATGCCGTCTGGAAAGCAGCAATGCGCTGATATGATGATATCAGTTTCTCAAGACGTTTTTCATTTGTAAACAAAGCTGCGGCAGGTCCACCTGCCTGCTCTGATAGGGTTATTAATTGAGCCTTAGGCTCTTGGCTGTTTTCTTGTACCTGTCCTGTGATAGAAACCTTCCCACAGTGGAACATGCAATCAGACTTGCTTCCATTCACACTTTACATGTATGCAAACAGGCGCACAGCAAACTGGCGACAAGCCCCCACACAGAACTCAGAGATATGGTCGCCGAAAACAGAGTCCAGATACAAGTTCACTTTCGATGGCTATGGCGACTCAGCGCCCAAACAACTCTCTGTTCGCATACCCCGGATCACCCTGGATATCCCACACGCGTCTCTCTGAACACTCACACACACACACACACACTAAACACTCACTACAGCTATGGTGGCTATGTGGCCGCAACTACCCTATCGCTATGCTACGCTCCTTCTCTCTCGCCCACTTCGGCTCCGGGCTCACTGCAGACCTCCTTGCAAAAGTCGCTGTGGCAGCGCTTCCGCATGGCTTACGCAGGAATGAATGAATGACTGGGCACTGCCTCTTGATTTATACTTCTGAAGCTTGTTGGTCTGCCCCTTTCCATCGGCCCATGGTGCACACAGTCCCTCATGGTACTTGCTGGACCGGACTGGGACTGACTGGACTGCACCGCTGACTACATGGGGACGCACTGCTATCCTACCGCTATCGTCCTGCAAACGTACTGCAGTTAGTCCACCACTTGGCTCACCACTTGCCCACTTGCCCACTTGCCGACCTTCTAGAAGACCACAGCTAAGACTTCTAGACTTCACTAAGACTTCTGTTCTACAGATCTACAGATCGAACCCCTACTACCTACGGACCCTACGACAGTCTACTAACTGTTACAAATACACAGGTCGTGGGTTCAAGCCTTGGGGTCGACACAGATACTGTACACCGGTAGGGTAAGGGCTAGGGATCGAGCCCTGGGGTCTGCATACTGCAAAAGGTGAAAACCGTTTCAAACATAAGTACATTTGGATTTGCCATTCGATATACAAAAGAGAACGGTGAATCCTGGGTAGGTCCTCTCCTCCCTCGACCATCTGCTGCAAATCCCCGCTCCGCACGTCGTGAAGAAGCAAGCATATGCAGCTGGACTGGGAAGTAGCGACATTGTTACCTGTTGCCACAATGATGTGAGCGATGGATGAATCTCTTGACGCCTTCCATTTTTTTCAATTCTATAGCAGCTGTCCTTGTGCATCATGCTGTCGAGATATGGTCCGAATAGTAAAATAGAAAAAGGAAAAGGAAAAACTTCCGAAAAAGGTAAAAAAAAAAAAAAAGGTGGCTGATTCTTCGTCTCCCATCTGGCTACCTGTGGGATTCATCCTTTTGTCCCTGTTCTGTTTGTGATATTTCCATCCTTTTATTGTTTCTCACTCGCTGTGTAAGCAGGCTGACACCACTCAGTTTCCAGGGCAAACTGTTGAACAGTGGTGCAAGGCCTGCCAGAAGAGAGAGAATATCACTTTCCCCACTGAAGCGTACGATTTGCTGCAAAGATGCCTCGAGGTGTTCCCAGAAAAGCGCATCATGGCTGAGGAGGCCCTTCAACATCCTTTCCTTCTGCTTGATCTGGACCAAAGTGGCAAGCAGGAGTATGTGGAGATGAAAATGGATTTGGCAGTAATGAGGGATGCGGAGAAGCGGTGTTCCCCTGATGAAGCTGGTAAAATAGCCCATGCAGGCTCCAGCATCTCATCGCCAAGAGAAGGCCAACTGGACTCCAAGAGCAGCGACGAGGTTGAAGAGGGCGTAACACATGCCACGAGCGGAGCAGACGCGGTCGAGGAACAGGGTCAAAGCCAAGGAACGGGCAACTCTTCAGACGGTCGGGAAACTTACGATGGCAAACCAGAGGTTCTAGCAGAACAGTTGTCAGAACACGCATCTCCCGAAGGCCTTATGTCATACGATGTGAAGTCTGCAAGGGAAGGAGTTGGTGAGCAGACAGAGTGTTCGCAAGAGAAATCATCTGCAGATGTTGCTGGTCTGAATTTGGTTGCTTTTCGAGAGCCGGGGGAAGCTGAAAAGGTTTTGGGTGAAGGTTCTCGAGAGAAATCAGGTACAGAGGTTGTTGGTTTGAATTTGGGTACTTTTCGAGAGCCGGGGGAAGCCGAAAATGTCTTGGGTGACTCTCGAGGCTCTGCAGATGCAAGTGCCAAGAAGCGAGAGGTTGGGAAGGGACTACACACACTGAAGAGTGCGTCAGAACAGTCGGAGCATGTGCTGTTGGGTGCTGCGAGGCAGCAGCAAAGCCCTAGTGAGTTGAGAAGTGCTGACCTTCACAGGAGAGTCGTCGTGTCCACGAGGACACACGAAGAGAAAGTCGAAAGAGGTTCAGATGAGAATGAACTTGCAGGTGAGAAAGAGCCTGAAGCAAGCGTGGGAAAAGCTGAAGGAGATGCGAACGCCAGGCCCCAGTCGGCTGACAAGGAAGTTACGATGAACGAGAACTGTGTCGGTAGTGAGAAGGTGTCGGTGAAGGGTGATGTTCTTTTCAATATCGTGGGGCCCGAAACAGAGGAAGACCGTAACATTGACAGAGAGGGGCAGCAAGCACATTGTCCGTGGAAGGAACTGGGTGTCTCTGATGCTGGTGCTGCTGTTTGGGGCTCAACCTCAAATGGAAAAAAGGAGAAGGGTGTGGTAGAGTTTATAGCGGACATGAAACGGCCTCTATTTGCGGAAACTGCCGCTCTTGGAGAACGTCGGTGTGTTCCTTCATCCCCTACGGTGGTGCAAAAACTTACAGAGAGCACAATAGCGAAATCGAGCAACCAGTCAGCAAGTGTTCTTCTCATCGATAGACCAGAAGCGAAGGTTATGGGATGTGCTGCTGTCTGTTCAACATCAAGTGGAAACAATGAGAAGGGTGTGGTAGAGTTGAGGGTGGACATGAAAGCGCCTCGTGCTCTTGCAGAATGCCGGGATGCTCCTTCATCCCTTACGGTCATGCAAAAACTTACAGAGAGGGCAATGACGAAATCCAGTGACAACTCAGCAAGTGTTCTTCTCATCGATAGACCACAAGGTAAGGGCATGGAATGTGCTGCCGAGGGGACGAAGGACATGGCGGAGGAACTGTGTGGACATGGGAGGGGTGGTACTGGCCTTGATGCGAAAGATCTCCTTGACGGGAATGGTGTAGGATCGTCTAAAGAAGAAACCGGCCAGAGAATCAAGGAAGACGCACATGGTGTGTGTGGCAAGCAAGAGGCAAAAGGGATTGGGGAGGATGGGAGTTCTCTCCTTGACGGAAGTGGTGTAGGATCGTCTGAAGAAGAAACGGGAGAGAGAATCGAGGAAGAAGCGCATGATGTGTGTGGCGAGCGAGAGGCAAAAGGAATTAGGGCGGATGGGAGTTGTCACCTCGACGGAAGTGTAGGATCATCTAAAGAAGAAGCAGGGTGGAGAATCAAGGAAGAAGCGCATGATGTGTGTGGCGAGCAAGAGGCAAAAGGAATCAGGGAGGATGGGAGTTATCTCCCCAGGGACCTGCAGGGTTGTGGAGATCCTCTCAAGCAAAAGGGTATTAACAATTGGGAAAAACAGAGCAAGTCATCTGTAGGAGCAGAAGTGAACAAATTCCCTGTGGGCCCAGTGGGGGTCAGTTCCACTGTGGGGAGTACTGCACAGGGCTACAGGGAAGCAGAGCTGACTTGTGATCATCGCGAACGCTCAAGGAGGGTGGAGGAGATAGAGACACAGGAACATAACATGGATATCACTGATGATGAGAGATGTGTCGCAGGTGATGGTGCTCACGGCAGCAGTAGTGTTGGGAAAGTGAAGAGCATAGATGGAGTGATGGAAGAGGGAGGAGAGGCAGCCCCCTGCAAAACCAACTCTGATGAGCGTGTCATCTTTTCTGAGGACAGAAGCCAGGTAATGACGTGCATAGAAGACAAGATGAAACTAGAAAGCCTTCATGGGATGGAATTCCTTGATGACGCTTTGGATGTTGTTGATGCAGTTGAGCACACAAAGCAGCATCTGGTGATAAGCAGCGGTAAAAGAGGGGAAGGCGAGGGTGCAGGGCTTGTGAATGAGTGTATGCCGGAGTCCCTGAAGGAGAAGGGCAGGAATGCTCTTGATGCAAGAAGCGACCAGATAGAGATAGCTCGCCAGCGTTTGGAAGAAGGCAGCGATGTCGGGAACTACTTGGAGAAGTCACATGGTTCGCTATGCAAGGACACCTTGCGAAAGGATTTGGGTACTGCACCCGATGCGCCGGCAATATCTGCGACTGCAGGAAGCCAAGAAAAAGATGAGAACAAGGACTTTGTTGAAGATAAGGTAGCATCTGAGGGAAGCGGTAGGAGTGCTTTACATGGTCCGCCATGTCGGCAGAGCGATGAGAATGGACGAATTGGAGGCAGTAAGGTGGTTGAAAAGGAGACACTAGCTGTTGCCAGGAGAGTTGAGGAAGGGAAGAATGATGGGGTGGTGGAGCAATGCACTGTGCAAGAGCGTCGTGTTCGGGAAAACATGTCTTCTGCTGTGATGACAAATGTACTGGG